CAGTCGCTATACACCCGCCTATAATGATGTAAGATACCTTCCCTGAGATTGTAACCAATGGCGCTGTAACATGTATCAACCCTCGATTGGACAGTGTGAGGATATAAAAGAAACGCTCCGCGACGCGGAGGGTCAGAGACAGGAAGAGGGACAGAGAGAGGAACTGTGCTCTCTTGGGGCGCATCACTCAGGAGAACGATTAAAGCCTTTCCGCCGCACAAATCGTGTTGAGTGCTTTCCTGCTGGACGGGAGGGCGCCCGACACATGTCCCCATCATGGCCCCCGACAATCCCCACATGGACCAGCCTCACACCTCACCAGAGTCTCTGTCCCTTTCTTGGCACTTGCAGCCCCTTGCCTTAGCCTCTCAAGTAGCAGAGGCCATCACCCCAGAGGTTTCAGGTTTCAAGTTCTCTTAAGATGGGCTACGGAAACTCTAGCCTTCCCCTACCTTTGGCTGCCAGAAGGATAATCCCAACCTAGCAGATCTGCTGGGAGTTACAAGACCCTGCTGGTCCCAGAGGGTCCTCCCCTCCGCTGGAGGAAGGAGGCTCCACAGGGGCCAAGAAGATGCTGAACCAACGCCCCATGCTGGTTCATGCATTTCTCCTCGGTTGTCTATGGTGCCCCTGTGCCAAGGCATGGAGTTGCCACACTTGGGGACAGAGAGTTTCCCATGTTAAGCAGAGTTGGGTTAATAATTGCCCAAACAAGAGCCCCTAACTTCCCCCTCTGCCTAGGGACTCACAGGCTACTCTTTCGTTTCTTATTTTTTGGTTTTTTGACACAAGGTCTCACTATGTAGTTCACAGTAGGCTTGATCTCATTATGTGGTCAAGGCTGGTGTAAAATTTGCAGCAATCCTCCTTCCTCAGCCTCTGGAGTGCTGGGATCACAGATACGTGCCGCTACGCCTGGCTCTGACCAAGTTTCTTGGGAATGTCTCTTGAGGACCTGGATACGGCCAGTCCTAAAGCCATAACTGGCTTCAAGCCATTCTAGGGGGAAGTCCCTTGACCTGGGATGGGATTACACCCTGATAAAACCTTTGTAAACTGAAACTATTGTAAATCAAAAATTCACTCAACAGGCCCAATCTATTGAACATCAGAGTCTACCTTAAACATGCTCAGAACACGAGTCTCACTAGCATTTGGGCAAAATCATCCAAAACAAAGCCTATTTTATAGCACGGTATTGAATAACTCGTGTGATTGTTAGGGACAGCTCACTACTGCTGCCCAGACGCTAGAGAGGATCGGAACACATATCACTTGGGGAGAAAAGATCACAAGTCAAAGTCCCACTGGACCCAGCTATGCCCCTGCCAGGTATCTTCCCAAAAGAGTGAAGACACTGCATTACGGTGATCCATGCAGGCCCACGTTCACGGCAGCCCAGCTTGTAATTGCTCAGTCTTGGAAGCAGCCTGCACGTCCCTCAGCAGAGGAACGGACAAAGGCCACGCGGGATTTGCACACAGTGGGGCACTGCTCTGCCCCAAAGATGGCCAGCTTGAGCTACCTGTAGAAGAACGGGTGTGCCTTGAGACCAGAACCTCGAGTGCAATAAATCAGACACACGAGCGTAAATATCGCACGGTTCTCTTATAGGAGAAACCCGAAGTATAAATAATTCAAAGAGTAGAGTAAGAGATGATAAGAAGTCGGGGTGGGGGGGATCCTTTGCAAGCGGGAAAGGGACTAAGCAGTGGAGGGCAGGAGGAGGAGGGGAGACGGGAAGGATGCGGGTGTGTCACGCGCAAGTGCCTGCTCCCCAGGGGGAGTGGAATCATTCTATCCCGCAAGCATGTCCTAACAAAAAATGAAAAACAAAACATCAGGCCTGATTTCTACTGAATGTGTATCACTGTCACACCATCTTTAAGGCTGAAAAGCCACCAGCCAGCCAAGGTGGCGGGGTGGGGGGGCATTTGCAGTTTGCCTTTGTTTTCTAACCTTGTAACTACAGGACCTTCCCCCCAAAGCCCCCCCCCCCACCCCAGGGCATGAAGAGGAAATGTTAGGAAGGAAGCACTTTACAGTGACATGTTTGGGAGCAGCATGGATGGCTGTGCCATGGCCAGGGGTTTTGACAGATTATCCCCATGGACTACTGGGGACGCAGAATGCTAGGCCTATGATAGGGTTTGCTGGCTGACTGGCTGGCTGTGCCATAGGACAACCTTACCACCCCAACAGGGGCCTGAGCAGCAGAGGCCACATGTCAGGGTCCCCCAACCTAGGCAGTCTGAGCTTGACCAGTCCCCTGGGGCTGTACACACACCAGCTTTGAGAAGTTCCACTGTGGGCTGCCCACGGGGCCACCCAAGAAGTGGCCTCTCCTTTCCCTGGACTCCCCTGTGGCTGGTGCACACCCCAGCTGTGTGGTCATGTGCTACCTCTCTGGGCTCAAAGATCTCTGCTTCCCTCCGGGGAGTCAGCTGTCACATAGTCAGGTGACCTGGGGCCTCTATGCTGCTGTAAGGAAACCCAAGCCAATGCAGGAAGAGGTCACCCAGACCCCCACCCCACAGCTGCAGGGGCCGAGTGAGTGATCTATTAGCCTCAACTGCAGCTGCCCTGCCCCACTGCTGAGCCAGAGGCGGGGGCATGGCTGAGCTCTGCTGTTTGCAGCCCTGCATCTGGTCATTTAGTTACTGAGGCAGCACCTGTCTCTTGCCTCTTCCCTGAAGGAGGTGGCTGAGGAGTGGCCACCTGTGGGGACAAGGTGCTGAGCCCTTTCCCCACCTGGTGCTCTATGGGATGGACATTCCTGTCCAGGGAGACAGTAGGAGATGAGAGAACACACAAACACGGTGATTTTGAGAGATAAGGAAGCATTTGGGGTGGGGACAGGGACAATAGGGATAAAGTCAGGAACGGTGCAGAGACACACTTGACCCAAGGCCCTCAAGGGGCAGAATGTAAAATACTCCCAGGGAAAAGCAGAGCCCACAGAGGGGGCGGCATATGTGAAGTCACAGTGTGGAAGGCACTGTGCTGAAGGCCGATGATGAGGGTGGAGATGAAGGAGGTCACACATATTACTCCTGTTTGGGGCCCAGATGTGGGAAGGAATGGGGCACAGCCAGTGCCCCAAGGAGTTCAATTAATATATTTTCTTCTTGAGCACTTAACTTCTGCTGATGTGGCAATAGCCACCCTGCCTGGTGCCATCAGAACCAGAGGTCCAGGCACAGGATCCAATGGGTCCACAGGGAGCCCAGGGGACAAGATGACATCCAGGATGGCCTGGAACAGTCTTAGAAACCCAGCGAGTTGGTGGCACTTTGCCTTAGGGAAATATGTCCTCCTTGTTTCTCCTGGCACATAGCCTGGGGGCAAGGGACCAGAATGGCTGACCCTCACCCTCCCTCCCATGCTGTCAGTTCACAATACCCCTTGGAGGCCTCACTGCCTGGATCCAAACCTGGCGGTCCCAGCATCCCCTTGTCTTGGCTTTGGAAATGGCATTTAGAGGCCTCTAGGTCTAGCTCTGGCTAACTGTTGAGTCCTGTCCCCAGTTGTGCCAGCTGGGTCCAGGTGCTGTCAAGTGGCCCCATTCTGTCTCTAGAGTGCTCGCTCTTTTGTTGGGGACAGTTGATACAGGGCCCAGGCCATCCTGGGAATGTCCCAGAGTACAGCAGACCTTGGGGTCAGGGGTCTGGCACACGGTAGGTGCTGTGTTTTCACGGACCCTTCTCACTCTGGCCCCTTTGCCATTCATTAGTTCAGATCCTTGGTGGCCCCCGAAGTCTCCTGTGTGTGGAAGGTGACTGGACCATGGGCACTCTGCACAGCAGGAGACACATCCACAGGCTTTCTCAGGCCTGAGGATGCCATAGGGAGCGGTCCAGGTGGAGGTGGTGGTCCCCAGGACATGGCCTGGGAGTATGTTCCAGCCCCGGCTCTTCCTGTCCTCTGCTTCCTGACCACTGTGTGGTGAGCAGCTGTCCTCTGTTGGTGCCTTGGAGCAGCCACCCAGGACTTCTGAAGCCCGGAGTCACAACAGAAGTCCTGCTCCTGTGGACTGTGGTGTTAGGTCCCAGGGACAAGATGCAGCAGACACCACCTTTTCTTTCAGCAGGGCTGAAGCATGCTCAGCTTGCCCTGTAAACCATGGCATCTGGGATGCTCCCCTGTGCAGCAAGGACTGTGACATCCATGGAGGCCCCAAGTTCTTCTCTGAGTCACCTGGCTTCAGTCCTGAGCCTCCTGAAGACCCTCAGGGCCCAGAAGGGCTGGGTCCTCCAGTGGGGATGAGGCACCTACAGAGGACCACTGCACTCTGCAGGTGGCAAGGTCCCTAGCTGCAACTGCCCAGCATCCACTCGTGAGAGGCTTCGGCTCCTGTTCCCACCCACTCTCTCTTTCTAGTGTTCTAATCTACCCAGGCACTTCCTGTCACTGTTCCAGAGTTGTCTTACTGTCTGGAAGGAAAGGGAGAAGTCTGATACACCAAAGGGGAATGGGGACTGGATTAACAACAAAGCAAGAGCTGGCACTGCCCTGCACAGCCCTGGTCCCAGTACTCTGGAGGCTGAGGCAGGAAGATTGCTTGAGCCCAGGAGTTTGACATGAGCCTGAGCAACATTATGGGAAGGCAGTCTACAGGACTTTTGGATTGCATTTTGGAGGTGGTGGCTTTTGTGTCAATGACAGCTCCGGGAAGGTGGCTCTGTTCCCTCTGTTGTGCCATGTGACCCTGGCAGTGGCTTCTGGGACCTCACCCAGGGTCAGGAGCAATGCTCTAATGGACTTTCCATCCCAGAGCTGGCCTGTCCACCCATCAGTGTCCATAAAGGACACGATGACCTTTGTCCAGGGAGCCAGAGCAGGTGGCCAGCCGAGGTGCCTGCAGATGGCTACGTAGAGGGAGAGGCTGGGTGCGCCAGCTGGGGAGAACAGGGGCTGTCCCTGCATGATCCTTGCCACCAGTCCTGCCCTGCTGCCAGCTGTGGCCCTGGCATGGGGTGGGGACAGATCTGAGAACTCACCAGGTGCATCCGAGAAGGTGGAGACAGCAGTAGACAGCTCACCTGGGCTACTGAGGACCTGGGGACAGCCCTGGGAAGGTCAGCAAGTGTCCTGTGCTCCAAGGCCTGCATGGCTTGACATTGTGATGTCACACCACTGAGGTGGCCCCATAGCAGGGTCAGGGACAGGCAGGCAGGACAGGCCAGCTCCACTAAAGCTGCGCTGAGAGACATGTCAGCCTGGAGACAGCAGCGGATAAAACACCCCACCGCCGTCTGCCACTATGACTCCTGTCCCTGCTTGCTTCATGGCACTTGATAAAACCAACTCCCATTTTTTATTTTGTTGTTTGCTCTTTTGAGACAGAATCTCATAATTTCAGCACTTGGGAGGCTGAGACAAGTGGATCGGTGCAAGTTTGAGATCAGCCTAGGCTACAAAGTGAGCTCAAGGCCAGCTTGAACTGCATAGGGAGACCCTGTCTCAAAATGGAAAAAAAAAAAAAAAAAAAAGAAAAGAAAAGAAAGAAAGAAAGAAAGAAAAGAAAATGAAAAAGAAATCAGGTGACACAAGTCTTACTGCATGGTTGGTTGAGGCTGGCCTTGAACTCATTATGTAGCCCAAACTGCACTGGAAGTGTCAAAGATCCTCCTGCCTCAGCCTGCCCTATATTGAGATTATAGGTGTGGGCTGTTAATACACCCAGCTCAAAGCTAGCCATCTTTGGCCCTTTCCTCACATTGATGGACCTATATGTGCAGCCCCGACTCTGAATGTTTTCTGTGATTCATTTAAAATTTCAGACAGCTTTTTTCTGTTATTGTTTTCTCTCTTGGGTTATCCCTCCTTTCCCCTCACTGTCTGCCTGGTGTGGCCTCAGGGCAGGCAAAAGAATTTAAATATTAGCTCTGGAAAACAAACAGGCAGCAAATCCACCCCCCTCCAGTTAAATCCCAGGCAGATGTCTCTTAGGTTATCTTGGGCTGTGCGATCTTCGCCTGGGCTACTTTCCATTGTAGGGATTTGATAATTAGGTGTGGTTTATATTTAATAAGGCTGCAAAGAAAAGAGACACTCACCCTGGAGCTTTCAGTCCCATTTCCTCCTCCAGTGCTTGGGGTTGGGGTGCTGGGAGCAATTCACTTTGGAACCTCCGGCTGATCCTGAATTTTAATTTGAACAGCGGATGTCACACTTTAGGGTTCATTAGAAGCATCTTGAGGGGTTTTGGAACCCCACAGCCCAGCCCGGGAGAGCTCTACTCAGCAGGCCTGCAAGGGACCTGCACTCTGGGTTCTAGCCAGTTCCAGGGCACGTGACACTCCCAGTCCAGGACCACATTTTGAGAGTCCTGAGGGGGCGCTGGTCTCCTGGGTCAGATCCTGAAATGGCAAGACTGGCTGGCTGACGGCTGGTGGTAGCATTTTGAGGTTGTCTGGGAACAAACAGGAGCCCAGCTTTGAGGCCACGGCGAGCTGAGCCTCTGGGCTTTATGGAGGATCTACTCATTGCTGCAGATGGGGGGCAGCTGACATCACCCGCAGTCTCAGGCCCAGCCAATTGTAAGTGTGAAGGTGGCCTGATGTTCCACTGTGGGCACCCAAGTCCTGGCCTGGGCACTTTTTACAACTGTAGGAGCCCACCCGACTCTAAGCATTAGTGGCCAGGGCCTGGAAGTGCCCATGGGACCTAGCCTTGGTGCTCACGTGGTGACCAGGCCAGAGATATGCCAGGTGTCTCAGCTCCTTGGTGTTCTCTTCCCTTGTTGTTTGTCCTGCTAAGACCATGGATAGCCGGGCCTGGTGGTGTGTGCCTGTGATCTCAGCACTTGGGAGGCTGAGGCAGGAGAATTGCTGTGAGTTCAAGGTCAGCCTAAACTACATACTGAGACCCTGTCTCAAAATGCAAAACAAAACAAAGATCATGGTTCAAAAGGGAAAGACACAAACTGGCTTAGCAGGCTTAGACTTTCTGAATTGCTGGTAAGCGTGTAGTCTCAGGGCAGATGGTGGCAGCGTGCCCTGTGCAGGTTATCAAGGTTACTGGGAAAATCACCAGCTGCGGTGGTCAGGGGAGGCCTGGTGACTTGGGCTTGTTCCTTTGCTTTATTGCCCTGCAGTGGACCTTGGTCCACCCCAGCCCCTCCCTGCATGCCACTTGTCATTGCCACCAGCCCCCCTGGAGTCCCATGAAGTCTAAACACAACGTGCCTGCTGAGGGGACTCCTTCCAGTTCAGCTCCCTCGGGCCAGGCACCTGGTGTAGGAGCCCTGGGACTGCCGTTGAACAGGCCCAGCTACACTGGCCAGCACCATCCCAGATCGTTCTGAGGGGACAGGTCACTCCAGAGTTCTCTCCTCTTTCAACCTGGCTCCAGGGACAAGGAAGCCTCCTGTCCCCAGCCTCCTGTATGTCAGGGACAGTACAGACCTTGTCAGCCTTGCTCGGGACGCAACAACAATTGGCTACCAGCCACCAGGAGCTCTGCTGTAGACCAAGGGTCCCATGGGAGGGACTGTACTCAGAGCTCAGCGGTGAAGAGGAGGTCAGCATGTGCTCAGGAAACCAAGGGCCAAGTTTCACACTCTCAAGGCCATGAATATGCTTTGGGCCTGCTAATTTCATCTTCTGAATTTACTTAGAGGAAGTAATCCAAAATATGGAAAGAATGAATCTAAAACGTGGGGGAATATAAATATAAATCTATATAAATGTACAAACCTAAAATATGAAGGGAAATATATGTACTAAGCTGTCCCTGCCAGCATTATTTAGAATTGTAGGAAACTGGCAATAATTTAAATGGCTATTAGAGGAGTGAAGCAATAAACTGCAGAAAACTCCCTGGTTGGGCTATGAGGAATCTGTAACATAATGGTAGAAAGACAATGGGGTAAGAGGAGAATGTGAGGTATAAATTTAAAAATCAGAGAAAGCAAGCAGTTATAATTGTGGAAACACTTACCTATTCGAAGCACCCAACATCTTTGGCAATCAAGGAAGTGGAAATTCATGCTCACCGTAGTGGCTAATATGAGAAAGAGCAACAATACTGAGTGTCGATGAAGACGTGGGGCAGCTGGAACCCTCACACAATGGGAAATGGCACGGACACTCTGGGAAATGGTCTAGAGGTTTCCCAGAAAGTCAAACATTCAGCTCTACACAGTGGCCAACAATTCTACTCCTGGCCATTAACCCAGGAACATATGGCCATACAAAAGACTGGTACAAGAATGTCCCCAGATGCCTTACTCACTGAAGCCCCAAACCTGAAGAGTAATTTCAGTGGCTGCCTGGGGTGGGGTGTACAGGTGCTGAAGGGTGCTGAAGGAATATTCTAGATCTTTCTCCAGTGGTTATTCGGGTACATTCATTTGTTAAAACTCATACACTTGTCCACTTAAAATGTAGGCATTTTATATATGGTAACTTAATTTTATACACCGTAACTGAGCTGGGTGTGGTGGTGCACATTTGTAATCTGGGTACTCAGGAGGCTGAGGCAGAAGAATCAATGTGAGTTTGAGGCCCATCTGGGCTACATAGTGAATTCAAAGGTAGCCTGAACTACATAGGGAGACCTTGTCTCAAAAATCAAAAAAATGAACAAGAAAATCATACCTCAATAAAGGCAAACATGTACGTGCATATATATGTGCATTTGTGTCTGCAGCCTGTGCAGATGTGATATATAATACACTCAACATTGCTTGTCAAAGGAGAAAGCAAGAAAGAAATACCCCAAAGTGTGGGAAGACTTTGTTTCATGGATGAGATTACAGATTCTTCTCTTCTGAGATTTACCAAATTTCACCCATATGATTCTATTTTTTTGTTTTGTTTTGTTTTATTTTTAATGTATTTGGTACCGGGTCTCACTACACAGCGTGGACTCACAGTGATCCTCCTGCTTTCAGGGATCACTGTGCTAGGATTTCAGGCATGCGCCACCACTCCCAGACTCTGAGGCTGGCTCAGTCTGTCCTGGGGGTGGGGCTGACATGGCATGTGGTGCTGGGGATTGAACCCTGGTCCCTGTGCTTGCCTAAGCTCGGACTAGGCGCTCTAGTTCACGGAGCTATATTGCCAGCCCATGATAAAGTATACAATAACAAATGTTCATGTGGTAAAAATCAGATCGCCAGAGACACAAACTCAGTCTGCACTCAGGGTGGGCAAGTTTGAGATTTCTGTACTGATCTGGGGGATCCTATGTGTTTCTCCACAGATCCTCCAGGCTAAGTCTACAGGTCAACCTCAGATCTCATGTCCTTCATGAGGTCACCTGTGCTGTCCTGGACACAACCCAAGGCTGTCTTATTTCTCTTAGTCAATATCTCTGCAGACATTGTATTTTCTGAAACCCAGCATGTGCTCTCAAGGGCTGGGATAATATCTTTAATTTCTTTTATTCTTTTCCCCTTCCCTTCCTGTAGTGCTGGGAGGAACCTTAGACTCCACATTCTCAGCCCAAGATGTAGCTTGTCAGTGGGCCTCTGATGATACAGAATAAATCTTTGTACTCCTAACAGCCCCATGTTGAGAAAATAAAGGTAAACTGGCACAGTTCCATCATGTACAGTGGCCCAGGTTGTTCACTGCCCAAGCCCTAAGCGACAACGCTTCCCTTGTTGTGTGCATATGCATTTTGGAGTTGTGCAAACAGAGTCCTTGGTCAGAATCCCTGTCTGGACACTTCCTAGTTTTGTGATCTGCAGAAATTTATACCCTGAGACTGGTTCCTTATTTATGTAATAGGCTTCTTAGAGGATCGAGTTGAGATATCCTCTGTGCAGAGCCCTCTGCAGCAGCAGATGAGGTGCTCAGGTAACGAATCTTCCTCTCTACCTCTTCTTCTCTGGCCTCTTTTCCTCCTTGCTTTTTATCACTACTTCTTCACAGCATCACCCAGTGCCCTGCAATTGTCAGTTATGTCCCCACCTCTGGGCCTTTGCACGTGCTCTTCCCAGAAGACTTCTGTATCTTCCTCGCCCTGTAGCTGGGCCCGATGTCATCTGAGGCCCTACTTGAGCAACACCTTCTATCACATTGATCCACCTGATTAGTACAGTAGTCCTTCATTTTCAGGGGACACTCCT